CAAGATGGTGGACATTTTTCTATAGGCCAATATAATACTAATATAGAAGTAATACTAAAGATAGTACTGAAAATTTTAAGGCATTTAAACATAAGAGACCTGTATTTAGGGTTTACGCAGCGAACACTCTTCCCTGCCCTATCTGCTTGATATAGGGCTTTCATGTACTGTATGCAAGCATATAACGTGACTACTCAGATTCCTACTGTGTATGTGTGAGGAGGTTAAACATGTGCATGCAAAATATACATTAATTAAAGGCACCTTTCTCTGAGTACTCTTGGTTTTTGATGCTCGTTTTTTGTTATCGGTCGTCGTCTTCGTTCTTCTGTTATCGGTCCTGGTCTCAGTTCTTTTGTTGTCAGATGTTCTGTTATCGGTTCACGTCTCTGTTTTCGGTCGTCGTCTTTGTTTTTCTGTTATCGGTTCACGTCTCTGTTTTCGGTCGTTGTTTTTGTTCTTCTGTTATCGGTTCTCGTCTTCGTTCTTCTCCGTTCATCTATCATCGGTTCCCAACTCTATTCTTCTTGAATCAGTCCTGGTTTTCGTTTTCTTGTTGTCAATTCTTTTTTTATTGGTCCTCGTCTCTATTTTTCTGTTATCAATCCTCTCTCCGTTGTTTTGTTGTCAGTTCTTCTATTACCGGTCACTGTCTCTGTTCTTCTGTTATCGGTCCTCGTCTCCGTTCGCTTGTTGTCAGTTTTTCTGTTATCGGTCCCTGTCTCTGTTTGCTTGTTGTCAGTTATTGTGTTCACGGTCCCTGTCTCTCTTCTTCTGTTTTCAGTCCTCGTCTCTGTTCTTCTGTTATCATTCCTCATCTCCGTTCGCTTGTTGTCAGTTTTTCTGTTATTGGTCGACGTCTCTGTTCGCTTGTTGTCAGTTATTGTGTTCATGGTCCCTGTCTCTCTTCCTTTTGTTATCGGTCCTCGTCTCTGTTCGCTTGTTGTCAGTTTTTCTGTTATCGATCCCTGTCTGTGTTCTTCTGTTATTGGTCGACGTCTCTGTTCGCTTGTTGTCAGTTCTTGTGTTCACGGTCCATGTCTCTCTTCTTCTGTTTTCAGTCTTCGTCTCTGTTCTTCTGTTATCATTCCTCATCTCCGTTTGCTTGTTGTCAGTTTTTCTGTTATCGGTCTCTGTCACTGTTCTCCTGTTATTAGTCGACGTCTCTGTTCGCATGTTGTCAGTTCTTGTCTCCGTTCTTCCTTCTGTTATCGGTCGTCGTCTTCGGTCTTGTACTTTCGGTACTTGTTTCCTGTTCCGTTAAGGTCTTCTCCTGTATACTATGGTTGCCGTCATTCTGTGTCGATGTCCTGGTTTTGTCAGTCTTGTAGTCATTTATTCGTTCAGTGGAGTAGCGGGGGATCGAACTCACGACCCCTTGATTTGTAGGCAGACAGTGTTACCACTGCACCATAGCGCCCGCTCTGAATAATAACCATTTTTGAAAGTCCTTTATACATTAAATACTATTTCAATGGCTAACAAAGGGTGTATTACAATTATATTTTAACACCTCTACTATGTAGCCAACCCACGTGACTTTTATATATGGTCAAAGTAAATATTACTCGATTTATTACAATTAATATTTTTATAGATAACTTTGCTGTTACTTTAAGATATCCTGGATTTATTGGAGGGTACCCGGAACTCTAATGTATATCAAATGATGTGATAATCTTCTTGTAGAATTTTCTCAAAACCGTGACTGAATTCCAAAATTTTCGAGAGCTGCCATGGTAAAGCAAGCACACATAGCAATCTCCCGGTTTCAGACAATTTATGACTCGATGAAAATATGGTGTTGTTATTGTTGTTGTTGTTTTTAACTTTAAATTTCAAATTAGATAGTCACTTATTTTTAAACAAGATGGTAACATTTGGTGTTTTCTGTAATTTTTGTTAAGAATGTGATGAAGTATACACTTCTAAGTTTAATATGACTTTTTATCCATCGTATACCTTAATGCAGTTATAATTGAATCTAAAAAATGAATTATGCAGACATTATTTTCAGCAGAAAACAACAAATACAAACAAAACCACACACAAAAAACTTATATGCAGCATACATGTGTAATGTTCACAATGTGCTGAAAAACGGCTTTTTATTAATTTCAATATTTCAGCAAGTTACACAAATTATAAATGAATGGGACAAAAATGTTGTTGTAACCATTTAAAAAGTAGGATTTGTAAAAATTTGTAAGTTGGCTATTTTTATCTAGTTTGCTCAATTAACACATTTTTATATATAAACCTGAGGTAGAAAACAACTTTCATAGATTGAGATAGAGCCATAATGTCGTAGATATTTGGGTTACAACAGGAGTTTTTGATCCTGATAATGTTTTAAGTAGGATAAACATATTCTTAAAATTTTGTACTGCCTTAATTCATTTTTTTAAATACGAACTATTATGTTATTATTATGTCTTTAGTTAATAGTTTCTAGAGAAAAGCCTTAACAAAAGTGGTATCTTTTATTTTATATATAAATTTTATAATGTGTCACATGTCGCCTTTAAAAATATTTTGTGGTGATTTTGCGCATACTTAATCCCGCTTTTGCATGTTGGAACAACAATATTTTATTTGTTTGTATACACAGGCTAATTGCTTATTTTGTATAATCTTATTTTATTGACCTGTAAATTATGAATACATTACAGCACTCATTGAAATATTAGATTCCACTTCGATTTCGTTAGTAAAGTTTACGCGAATTAATAGAGGATATTTGTTTGTTTTATTTGTAAGATGAAATTTTATTTCATCGAGTGGGCTTTAAAAACAGTATTCCCACGAGTATAGTAAACTATAAAACTAATGTTAGTGGAAGTCATATTTGCTAAAAATGTAAACGTTATCGTTACTACCGCAGTAGCATTGCCAGTTAAGTGATTGACTGATGTGTGAGAGGGGGGGGGGGGGGGGTTGCAGTATATATTTTAAAACACTTTTGTCTCGGTTTGTGTTGTGTTTATGGCATTGAAATGAAATTTTTTGACATTTCAAAATAATTAAATTAAATATTAATTTTAAACCATAAATACTTTAATAAGTGAAAAATAAATGAAAACAAAATGAACAACTTAAAAAAAAATCATAGCTACAAATAATGTTGAAAATTACGGAACACCTGAAGTGACATTTTCCACACTTTCTCCCGGAATTGAAATCGTTTTTACGAGATAATAATTCCCAATTAGAAATATTATTTCGTTTTAACGAAATATAAAATCTTAATTACGAAATATTGATTCCTTATTACGAAATATTATTTCGTAATTACGAAATATTAATTCGTTATTACGAAATATTATTTCGTAGTTACGAAATATTAATTTGTTATTATGAAATATTCATTCTTTGGTAATATTTATAAAGAAGGATTTGAAACTAAGTTTATTGTTTAAAAAATATAAGTCAAGTAAACAAACCATAAAAAGTGATTTTTTTTCAATCTTAGTCTTATACCTTAACGCGCTAGTAAAATGTATATGTTATTTTGGTTTTGGAGTGATATATGTGGATATATTACCTGCTAAGATTTTATATCACCCGAGCCGTTAGGCGAGGGTGATATTTTATCTTGGCAGGTAATATATCCACATATATCACTCCAAAACCAAAATAATAATTTTATTACCCTTCCCCTGCCGAGTTTAGACGATTTTTTAAAAAAATCATTGCTGTTTCAAATGAAACGTCGAAATAAGATTCCCTTTAGGGTACCTCTTCGTCACAACATGACGTCACATAAATACATGACGTATTTTTCCCGTACCTAACGAATGTAAACAAGAGAAAAGGAGTAGTCTATTGAACGCACTTTTTTGTAATTAATATCAAGCTTTCACAAGGTCATATTTGTTTTCAATACTGATGGTAATATGTATCATTACTCTACTTTGGTAAATATTTATCATTTGACAGTTAAAAAGTGCTTGTAAATCGGAATTTACACCGCGTAAAATCGAACCGTACGCGCATCACCTCAGCGCATGTTGTTTACAACGTTGGGTACCCAACGGGGAAATTTAGTGTGTATATTACCCGTCTGGCTCGGTTATATCAATTTCTTTCGGGTGATCAATATCCAATCAAAAAGGCGGAAAAAATCTGGAAGGGTAATAATACTGTATATTACTGTTCATTGAGCCATTGGGCTTATTATCGTTATATTTGGTGGCTAATCTCATTAAAATCTGATCATATTTAATAATCATTTGATTTTGACAAGAATAATTAATTGCATCATATTGTATCATAGTTTTAATGACCTATTTTAGTATTTTTAAGCGGCCATTTTGAATTGACCTTTTGAAGGTCAAGGTCAATTTTATTATCTTGGTATCCACCCTCATCGTCTTCAGCATACCCATATTAGGTTAAAACTCTCAAGATATTACTTGTACTATAAAATGCCTCTAGCATTCACATTTTCTTAAAATCAGTCCTGTCTATATTGTGTCCCTATAAATTGCAAATAATACACAAGGGTACTGTATGCTTCAATGGACTTTATTAGTAATAATAAAATTCAGAAACATTTTATGACAATAGTATAAACAATGAAGTCGATGCCGAAGCAGATCAGGAAAAAACGAAAAGATGAAAAGACAAATAAGCAAAGGAAAGCAAAACAATGGAAAACACAAAGAAAAGAACAACAACAACAAACAAACAAACACACATACACACACAATCAGCTTCTTTCTTCTTCCTGTACTCTGAAATAAAGAGAACGGTATTTAGTATTAAACGCAGACTTGTTTAAAGAAACGGCCAGTTTTACATGCACGTATTTATTTAATTTTATATATATTTTAAAGAAATAATTCAACTATATGTCTCTTGCCTTTAAAGTGAGGTTGGAGGCCTTATTTATATTTGTGATAATAGTGTAGTAGGTATAACGCAGTGTTCTTACTTTATCATTCAAACTATTTCCAAATTGGATTTTATACAAAAGCAATAATATATCTGAATCTTACCTTACACGCTTACAGGTGGAATACCGTCATCAATGACGTCATATCCGGATGAAGCAAACTGCTTCTGTAAAAGCAATAGAACGATGATCATTTCATTTTACGAGTTCACTGTATCTATAGCTCCTGAAAATCTTACTCTTAATGTGCAATAGAGCTTTTGTTTAAAGCATAACCTGACAGAAAGTGTTTTTTTCTCGTAATGGACTCAACGCTTAATTTTTTCATAATACATTTGCATATAAAATTTGCCAAATTATCTTCAACTATTGAACTAAGTGCTGTATGGGTAAATACTAAATATTTTGATTTCTTACAAAATATCAAACACATATTCTTACCCTTGAATTAGTTGACAGTTTTAGCAGCCCTAATAGCAGAGTGGTTGACATTGGCATCCTTAACAATGGATGACAGACTCTCCGTTACAGACATATCAGCAATTTCTGTCAAATGAAAAAGTTATTTCATGTAGAATAAAAAAGTATATATTTTGAACAAAAAACTAAAATTATCCTTAAAAATACAAAAGGCCGTTGTAAACGTGCCCTATCATTTGCTGGGTTAAAACAGTTAGCATGTATTCAGGTGTGAAATGCTAGAAGTACGAAATGAACTGGGTACGAATGTTGCTCATGTGGTTATACTTGGTTTTTATTGCATACCACTTATCAAGATTAAAGTATTCATTGCTGTTGTAGTTTTTTCCCTTTTAATTTCGGGAATATAAAAGTCAGAAATAGGGAAATTGATGTCTTTGTTCTATTGAGAAAGATGCCGTTTTTCGGTATATCTTCGTATGTTACCTTTTTAAAATAAAGATATTTTATTATGTTTAAAGTAGTTTATTATGTTTATTATAAGTAGTAGTTATAAAAGAAAAATAAAACACTGCTTTAGAACATGTGTTATAATACTGCACGTTTTTTATGTCGCTTTTCATTGGATAATCGTGACTTTTACAGTATATAAAAAAGCCCTCCCGTCCAAAGATGTCAAGGTGGATAAAAATCCCTCCCTTGAAAATGACAGGGTGGACAAAAGCCATCCCATGAAAATGTCTGGGCGGATAAAAAGCCCTCTCGCAAAAATAACAGGGCGGACAAAAGCCCTTCCGCGGCAAATACATATATGTGGTTGAATATGTTGTTTTTCTTTTCTTATCAATGCACTCAGCATAAAAATTGTATATGAATATTATGGATATGTTTGTTTTCCATTGGCATGAGTGTGTTTGTATTAGCTTTTTCCTCACCGCCTCCGTGGTCGAGTGGTAAGATTCGATGACTTCTAATCCAGTTACCTCTCTGGCGTGGGTTCGATCCCCGGGAGATGCTTTGGTAGTTTAGCGCGGAGGAAGGTAGTCAAGTACTGGTGTAACTCTCCAGGAACGATGGTTAGGAAACTACCCGCCTATATGACTGAAATACTGTTGGAAAAAGGCGTAAAATGACACAAACAAACAAACAAACAAATATTAGCTTCAGCACATTCCTTACAGGTATCTAAATAATAAGTGCTAAAATCTGTAAGTGCATATTGATTCACATAAATATGATATGATAACTTCCATGTAAAGTTAAGACGAATAGAGTTATAAATGCTGAAAAGAAGATTAGATTAAATAAAAAAGTCCTAGACATAGGTATATTTTGAATGAAAGGTTCTAGCTTATACACAAACTAAGGCAAATAAAAAACAACAACTATATATGTAACAATCTTAACATATTGAGTGCATTGTAAAAAGCAGGTATCTAACGTACATATATATATTTGTTACGGGATGGATTTTGTCCCCTTGTTAATTTAACGGGAGGGCTTTTGTCCGTCCTGTCATTTTTACGGGAAGGCTTTTGTCCGCCAAGTCATTTTTGGACGGAGGCCTTTTGTCCGGGAGGGCTTTTGTCCGTTTCCCAGTTTTTTAAATACGGCTGCTGTTAATTTAAGAAATCTTTTTTTCAGAAATAAAAGTAAAATGTCTTATAAATTCGTTATTAATATTCCTAACAGTTAATATGATCGTATATATAAACAGCTTAGCGACTCTGGTTATATTGTCTTACAACCGTTTGCAGAATAAAATTTGGTTCAGGAATATTTTATTCTGTTTAAGTACAAGATCCATGTTTGTAAAAAAAAAGAAATAATCAACGAAACAGCCATTGTATAACCAATAAGGTCCAGCCGGAAGACAAAAGCCTCCCGTAGCTGTATTGTGCATTCATTCCCGGTCACTTCGGCGCAAAAACATAAGCATTGACCTGGCAGTGTTTTGACAGTCAAGTGGTGAACCTTTGGTTCATTTCCCGGCTACGCCCTTCCTACTAACTACGAACTTTGTAACAATTGACACTTACGGCTGATGATACTGGAGGACAATGATATGTTGTCGTCTGCTGGCCTCACTGTTACGGTGATGGTGTTGCTAGGCAACTCTTGTCTCAGAGTGTCGGCTGCCTTGTTTATGATGCATGTCACGTTTTGTAACTAAAATGGTTTTAAAAAAAACTTCATTTTTTATTATTGACACACGTACGATGACAAAGGGCGACACCATCGCATTGTCATACTCCATCGTTGTACTGTTGCTCTTTGTAATCGTATCGTGTCATACTTTGCATTTTTCGCTCTCAGAGAAAACGTGCTGGCCCAAACGGAACACCGTAGTATAAAAATAACAAGACATCGTGCTGTTGTGTTGTTACCATCGTGCTGTCGTGTTGTAACCATCGACTTTCGTATTGTAAACACCATACTGTGGTACTTCCACCATCATACTGTGGTACTTCCACCATTGTACTGTCGCTCTCTTATATATCTACTTATTCAAATTTCTGACCAAACTAAAAATAATAGATTTTTGAATCTTTTATAATTTGAAATTATTAATGAAATTGTAAATAAACTACATATATTTACCAAGTCCGTCGTCTGCTATGGTCTTTTCGTTTGCAATGATCGAGCTGTCTCTGTTGTATTTTCTGTATCAACAACATCGTCTGGAAAATAATGTGCTACCAGATTTTTATACTTCTTGCACTGTAAAAGAGAATATCTTTCTACTGTTAAAACATTTTCAATTTTCCTTAGGGCCTACTTGTAAAACATGTACAGTAACTTGCCACGCATGATATTTTAAATGGATCGGTTTAACTTTCACTCTGAACAATAAAAAATCATAACTTTAAATTTCAAAATAGATCTAGTCTTATAATTATATTAAAGAAATAATATATCCCAAACTGTGATTTTATCGCTCAATAACATCAATGTTTGGAGTTCGGATGCGAGAATCATATCACGAGGGCGTAGCCCGAGTGATAGAATGATGAACATCCGAACGACAAACAGTGATGTTATCCAGCGATAAAATCACCGATTTGGATATATTATTTTGATTCTAACACGACATAAACAAATAAATGCTGCCGTACCTGATATTAAGCAAAATTGCGCCTGATTTGTTTCCGTATTGTCAGCGCGTCGGATTTTATAGTGGTTACGTCACATGTATAATGATTACGTCACATTTCTAAATATAGATCGTCAATTAATAACACACACTTTCGGTTCTTCTATGTTCAATAGGGAAAAATGCGGATCGTGTTAGAATCAAAGGGACCCGGCACAGTGTTTGGATAGTGTAAAAAAAGTAATTCTAGAAAAAAAAATTATACTTTATATATGATATATAGACAAGCTTGTCTATATATTATATATAAAATACATATATATATTTTTTTAAATTACTTTTTTACACTATCCCAACACTGTGCTGGGTCCCTGTGATATAGACTATATATTATATATAAAATATATATATATATTTTTTTAAATTACTTTCTTACACTATCCCAACACTGTGCTGGGTCCCTGTGGTTAGAATGTTCCATTTGAACAAAACCATTTATCATTTTAGGCAATATACCAAATATATTACTGGCTGAATAGCGAACAGTGATGATCAGACGTCAAGGATTGTATTGGTAAGGTTTGTAGCCGCCATCAGTTAAATTTTCTAGCTTCTTTTAGAGTCAAACAAGGCCATTACAGTTTTCCTTTAGAAAATTAACGACACTGCATATTTATAGATCTTTAAGAATAACTTAACTCTGATAATTGTTTTTTCCCATTATTATATCACCATGCAATGGTTATTACTATTCATCATCATATCACCATCATTATCATCATCGCTATAATAATTATTTTTATTATTAGACTTAATATTAATAATGTCCTTTATGCCGTGTAACACCGCAAAACGTCCATACCGCAAAACGTACGCGTGTGGACGTTTTGCGGCGCATATCGTACACATGTGTACGTTTTGCGGTGCATATCGTACTTGGTACGTTTTGCGGTGAGAGTGTGCCTTTGCGTCGCATATCGTTTATATTTTCTGTATAAAAACATATTCATTATAAACGTTACTCTTATTGGTTCTGTCACTTTCATATTGTTTCAGGTAAAGATATGACGAAATAAACATTAAAGTGCAATATTTTTGTGTTCCTATATAATTCTGACTTTTTATATAAAAAAAGAAATATGCCTAAGCCGAGGATGCTTTTCGAATAGATTTTTTTATGGAATGGAACCGAGCAGAAGCAGCAGCAGCAGCAGCAGAGATATTAAAACGATGATATTGAAATAAATATAATCTTATAGACATACAGAAAAGGACGGCTGTACGGACGGACGAACCGGGGATTGGACTGAGTGAATGACAAAAAAATATTAAAATTAAGCTTTGCTTTTGACAATAGCTTTTCATATAATTGCATCAAGAAGTGGGGAATGATTTTGTGTGTACTTGTTGACTATGGAGGTTTGGTTCTATCGTTCATTTTTACAGGCGATAGTGGGCTTTTGACAGCGTAGTCATATTTGAGCGAGACAGCTATATTGTCATGAAGATAGGGCCTTACAGTCGTCTAGTCATAATTGAGCAAGAGAGCTTTTGTCGCAGGGGGCAGGGGTGGGGATGCTTTTAGCCTCCTAGTCATATTTGAGAAAAAGAGAGGGAGAGCATTTGTCGAGGAAGGGGGATTTTAGTCGCCTTGTCATATCTGAGTAAGAGAGCTATTGATGGGATGGGGGAAGGGGCTTTAACCGCCTAGTCATATTTGAGCAAGAGAGCATTTATCGTTTTGTTTGAATGCCATAATGTAATTTTATAATTGAACAAAGCAAAAAGGTCATGGAGGCCTTATATCGCCAACCTGCCTATAAAGGCTCCACATGACAAGGGTAGATAGCATTGAAAAGCAAGTACATTTCATGTACTTGGTCAAATCTGGGTAACTGATATCAGTACTCAATTCTACATCTGAAATGGTCATCAATATCCAAATATCTGTTAAGGACAAATATATGGTAATTTAAGCAAAAATCAATAGTAACCTTGAGGTCAAGGTCATTTCAATGTCAATATGATAGTTGAACTATTTAAGATGTCCGGCCTGTCATAAGAGTATGAATGACATCTAATCATTGATAACAAAGAAATGGCAGTTTTATCACAATTCAATACTTTGACTTTAAAATATGTCTTTTTTATTAGTCAAAGGCAAATAACTCTTGACATATTAAGTCGTTTTAGCTCATAAATGAGCTTATGGACCTTATTTTTATACATATTCTGTGTAAAAAAAATAAGAATGGAGAAGAATTAACAAGGTAAAAAATAGTGCGTTTGTTGTTGGGGGTGTTTGTTAGATTTAGCCTAAAATCTAACTTTGTTGAGATTTTATGGTCATAGATATTCTGTTGAAAATTGTCAAGATTGAAGAAGAAATGAAAGCGTTGGAGTGGTAACAATGTGAAATATAACATATTTTGTCATTCAAGGGCAGATAACTCTGGACATATTGCTTAGGATATGTGGATGCTCGAGTGGTAACAAGCTAAATTTGGACGGACAGACAGACAGACAGGCGCATACTCAGGTGAACTAAAATTAACACACAATAAAACCTGATAAAAACTGGTCAAAATTAACGAAAATTATATAAACTTTAAAATGTGGACGTTATGCGGCATGTCCATGCTTTTTTGCCGCAAACTGTACGTCAGAAAAATGTGGACGACATGTACCGCAAAACGTCCATATAGGTACGTTTTGCGGTACGGACTAACGGTGTAACAATGCCGCACAAAACAGTTAATTTATCGATTGAATTTTCTTAATGCTTAATTTTCTACTCATCCTTTCGTTGCAAAATTTCTTAAAACTAATGAGTCAAATAAAACAGCCTGAATTTTCTCTAGCCATTATTTTTTCATAATTTGTAAATACATTAAGAGCTAGTGTAGTTTTCCGGACGCAATATGACGTTGCTTATGAGGAACGCCAATTTCTTCTATGACGTCACAACGTTACATGATATATCTACCATTAAATCAAAACATTACCGAATATTCGTTAGGAACGGGATAATTTCTATACTGGTCCCCTGCGCACACAGGAAACCTTCAGCGAATGCTGTTTATCTCATTGGTTAATCGATATATGTAAACAAATATGGCTGCTGGTGGCTGAAGAGCATACATAAATTTAGTAATATTTCTGTTAATTTACTTTTTCGAGAAGTTATATTTGCGAAGTTCATTTTCAGAACCGTAATATGTTAAATAAGTAAAGGTATAATAATAATGAATACACGAGAGGACTGTTTATTTTAGCCTATGTTGGGAATAATGCTACGTAATAAAAGGCATTGATGATGATCCGCCCCATATAATTCAAAGATTATATGAAATAAAATTATATTTCAAAATGGTTGTGGCTTATTTTCAAAATTGTTTAAATTTATAAAACATGTAGAATTCAGTTTTTTCTACTTTTTTACATCCATATATAGCGCCAAACTCCAGGGACAGTTTCCTACAGGGAAATTTCATGTTACACTTTTTTTCCCCGTTTTCAAAATTTAAATGTTATTTCCAATGCTTGACGATCATCATGAAAATAATATGCATGTACATTACTGAAAGGCACATTATGCCCTAGAAACAAAGAGAATTTTACTTCTATTGATACGGAAAAACCTGGGGCGTCCGTGGCCGAGTGGTTAAGGTCGTTGACTTCAAACCACTTGCCCTTCATCGTTTTGGGTTCGAATCCCGGACAAGGACTTTGGATTCTTTCATGTGAGGAAGCTATCCAGCTAGCTTACGGAACGTCGGTGGTACTACTTAGGTGCCCGTTCGTGCCTGAAATAATGCACGGAAGGGCACCTGAGGTCTTTCCCCACCAGTAAAGCTGAAACGTCGCGATATGACTTATACTGTGTCGATGTGACGTTAAACCCAAAAACAAAACAAACAGGGAAAACCTTATTTTATAATGTTTATATAATGATTTTACAAAATGTTAGATGCATGTTATCCGACGAAAATAACAGATAGTATAAAAATAATTCGTCTTAAAAGTAGCAAAATGTAAACAAAGTAGTATTTGACTTCCTCAAAATACTATGTCCAAAAATGAAACTGTTGAAAAAGATGTTTACGGTAAATTGTAAATGAGTATTTTTTTCGATACATAAAAATAAACAAAAATAATAAGGATTTTTATAAATAACAATCAAAGAAAATGAAAGAAAATGAAGAAACATGATATGGTTGTGACCTGATTAGTGCTCGAATCCATCGATTTCAGCAACAGTTTGAAAATGCCCCATTATGGGTGGGGAAAAAAGGTATTGAAACACATAGCACATTGTAATGTGGTGAAATGTTATTGTTGCGAATCGTAACATTACCCCACAGGTACCACATCCCCGTAGCCATACATGTGCTAGTATGCAATAGAAGTGTCAAGAGGAAGATTGACCTATAGACTATTGCATGCATTTGAAGCTGTTTTTGCCAACGTCACTTTTTTCATAATTGAAGCCTTGTGAGCAATTAGCTATGACTGATAATATAATTCCATGCTGTCATCAATAATGGTTTAGATTATTTATGTGCACATGAAACATATTGTTGAAATTTACTTTAAATTTATTGTAAACTTGATGTAAACATTTCTTACAATTTCAGATGTATAAAAAGGCAGTATTTATTGTATTCAATGTATTCATCGTGTTAGGATAATGAAAAGCAACCAATAAAAATGGTCATATAGACTGTTTACATAATCTTAATTTTTTTCTCACAGTAAAATACTCATTTAATGATATTAATGATTATGAATGTCAATGTTAATTTGTTGATATCACATCAGAGTTTGTTTTTTTTTTTTTTTTTTGTTGTTCACTGAATACACTCGCGTTACTTCAGACAGTGAGAAATAGTGAAACATTCGACCGATGCGCAGGAGAGTTAAAAGTCATCTGCTGTTAAGTCATGGTTCTGGTGAATAATGTGCACAGGGCATTTCAGCTGAAAATTAATTAAATGGCAAGTTTTTACAATTTGTGTATCATAATTATGACATAAAGAATTACTTTAGTCAAAGAAATTCAAACATTTTTCACTGAATCGAGGGAAAAACTTGCTTCATTATTGTTGTTGTGGCGTTCGTTTTTTACCGTGGAAACCAAGACACGGTTTCATTGGCTACTTTAAGGACATTATCTGATTGGATAAGGCTAACAGGTGCTCGACTGCTTTTAATTTTGCGTTCATTATCTGGTTGTTTGGAATATTTTATTTACGGCGCAGTCCTTTGGACAGAAAAATCTGATTGGAACCATAACAGGACAGGGAAACAGATTAGACCATTTCAAACATTCGGAACAACTCAGGCGTCATCAATAGCTTATTCACAATGCGATATTTCATTAGAAACGGAAGTTGCATTCCGTGCATCGCGAAACAATGTATACCAGCAGTTGGTTTATATAAACCCTTTCTTGTACATTTTAATTAAAACAGCAGGGTTTAGTGATAAAAATATATAACCTGTGAATTACGTATATGTTAGTGTTTATTTAGTGAAATTTTAACAATTAAGAACACAAAAGAAAGAGACCGGTAGTGAACGACCGTGGGTTCGGGTTATCTGAAAACCATAGGTGTTCGGCGCGTTGATTGGTCACAACCACCTCCACCCCGAACAACCCTCTTACCTCTCAAAACCTGTAAACTGCAGTATTTTTTATTTGAAACATGCTTTAACTTTTGGTATATGCTTTTAATTCAATTTCTTTCATTTCCCACAAAAAGAATAAAATTTGATACATATATAATTATTTAGTAAAGGTATGCAACTCGCCGCTCATTTTTCAGCACTCATCTTAATATGAACGCCATAACTCCAACATTTTTTCACCAATTTTCAAAATCTTGGTACCAAATGGTAGGCATAAGATAAAATGAAACCTGTTCAGGCGAGAGGCATATTTTCTTAATAAATTACAAATGTGAAACTTTGCCGAGTTGTTCCTTCTTCGTAGTTGAAGGGAAAGCATATAAGACAGTAATGCCGCATTGAATTTGCTTTCCTGTTCCATACATTGACCTATAAGGTTCAGTGCTGTCTCCCTATGACCAAGGTTTCTGCCAGACATTGTTATATTTATAAGGTTACAAAGTGCTTGTTGTCGATCCTGGTTTCTTTGTAGATGTCCATATGTCTTGTACTGTAAAAAGTAGAGAAAGGGGAGAGAATCAACCACTGCAAAATTCATCCACATTTCTTCCCCAAAACTTCTGTGCTGCATGTCATCTTGTGTAGATCTCTTCATTTCATATTGCAACTCTCGAGGAACACAGTTGACCTCCTCTTGCACGAATCTGACACAAAATGATGTGATCTGATTGATGGAATCTTCTTTTAGTTCATAACATTTTCTGTCAAATTCTGAAGACTGTTTAGACCATGGATGGGCCCAGCAACCACATAGAGATTCAACAATATAACATTTGTATCGACTTTCAGTTTGTCTTAGAATGAACTCCACATTATCCAAAAAGCCTACACAATACAACACTGACGCTAGTTTAAGTCTGCCGGATGTTACATCCGAGTTTAGACCTAGTGATAGCCACTTTAGTGCGTTATATTGAATGGCGGTATTCTGTTGAACATCTGAAGACACCATCATAGATCCAAGGGTAGAATAAAGAGACGGCAACAGATAACGGCTTGCAAGCTGTTCTAGTCTGTGTCCATGAACACTATAGTTTGCTAGCTTTAAGATAAATTGTTTGATATTGGCTATATGACCATTTGAAATGCCATGTAATAGCCATATTGTGTTACCGCTAAAATATCTTGCTATGGTGATAAATAACCAACCCGAACCTAATTCATTTATAAAACGACGAGTAGGCAAATTATGAGGTATTGCACGATTTGGTTGAAGTTTGACCTGTAATCGATTACCAATATCATCAATACTTATATGAAGCAAACATCTACCATCACTCTGTATAATGTCACTAATCTTCCGTAAAAGGTAACGTTTGTCTACAGGCGAAAACTGTCCGGCCATAAGGTTGTTCTCGGGAATTATAAAATGCGGGCAATTTTCATTTTGAATATAGCATAGCAGTTCAAGCAAGCAATATGTTAAACAGGTGAACAGATTGTTCTTTCTCCAAATGTTTCGGTCGGCGTTTTGTATACAGTGTAATACTACCGTTTTACACATAAAACTAGACAAAGCACTTTCTCTTTGAGGTGTTAGAAAAGATTTCAACATAATTTTCATCAAAACATAACAATGTAATTGTGTTATATTTAGATTAAACATAAAGCATCTTTCACCTAATGATGTGGATATTCTCCATTCTAGTTCCGGGTAAGTACTAATCTTACTGCTAGCACCAACATCAAAACAATCATTACTAGCAGCATATCTGATCATTTCAGATGTTGGCCATCCCCCTATGCTATGTCTGTCTAGTAAATGTGAAGTTGACTGTTGCCATGAATTACAGGGAAACGCAAATACTATATCAACAGCTTTGTATCCATCTTTCTCCGGCCTAACGTTAGATGGACCATGTCTCTCAGTACCTTCAAGTATACCAGTCAAACATGTACTTTTCAATAATATCCTCCCTTTATTATCTCTACAAATAGTGTTTGTCTCAAAGAGATGCTCATCCGAAGGAAGTACCTGTAAAAAACAATATCCAGGTGTTACATTCTCATCCTTTATCATAAGAAGATTTATTTTATTCTGTTTCCACTCTGACGAGTCCCGTATAACATTAAAATCATAATCCATAAACAGTGCGTCAGCATCTGAATTAAGTCCTAAAGTAGTTGTGCCTTCAGATTGACTCCCAAAACAATATGCTGTGAAGTTCCCATCACTTGCCCTCCTTTCAACAGTTTCCATATTCTCCTTCAGCATAAAAGCTCTTCTTCTTCTCATTACCATTTTCTCATTGACACCAACATCCTCTAACACCTCAGATAACTTCAGTGACAATGTGTTACTATATTCTGGTGATTGAAACATTCTGCAACGATAATTAATAAACAAAATTGCAATAATGAGAGAAATAATACTTATTTTGATTTTGTTGTGTAAATTATACATATAACAAGAACATGATTTCAAATACACAATGTTTTTGAAATTAGAATTATATTTTGCTTTATTTGATATTAAACTTGAAAATATATTTTCTTTCATGAAAATGCAACACTAGAATTATATTTAAGAAATAGATCAAGAATTATTTCACGCGTTTGCTTTAAATATGTAATACATCACACTGGAAATGCAAATAATATCATGTTCAAAATTTTGAAACCAAATTGTCATGAATTAAGCAAGTAAACGGTTAATAAATAAAACTAAATTAGTAAATAGAAAATAGTAAAATTATTGCACTGGCTATGTTGTGAAAACAAAGAGGTAAAATTACTATTTTTACACTTTTGGGGTTGTTTTATTCATTTCATGCACGAATAGCTTATTTTTTGTTGATGACTTTTGAATTGCATGTATATCAATGTTAGACTAAAATTTTTTTAAAGAAATGTCGTGTCCAGTTCTTAAATTTGTAAATACATGTATGTGATTATATTTAAAAAAATATTTTAAATTTCAGATTTCTTTCTATTAACATACTTTCTTCTTAACAAGCTGAAACATGAAAAACATTAATAATATTTATTAATACCTTTTATCAACTTTTACTTTTTTCCGATTTAAAAACCATTTGTAGAAATTTAACTAAAACAAAAATGTCCCCGCTGCCATGTTAAACCATTAATATATAATTTATAAATATAATATGACAAAGCAAGGATGCATTTAGTTATTGCTTTATTCTTACAATCGAAATTGCTGCATAAGTTTTGTTATCATCAATCATAAATTTCCTCTTTTGATTTCGAAACGATTTCGAAACTTACCGAAAATAGCTCTTTCAATAATGCGTAACTTAATTATTTACTTGTTAAGTTCCTTGGTTTAGAGCGACGTTCGTATACAAATATATGATATTATTCCCTTTTTTCTAGGTAACATCAAATAAATCAATACATATTGCGACAGAAATGATCGTCCTATATTATACGTTGCGTTAACAATCAACGTTATTTAAGATCTTTTTGTAACACTCAGCTTAAAAGATATTATTGATTGATGTTGTATAATATATATTTTAAAACCGTTTTTCTTTAAGTCCCATTATATCTTTGTTAAGCAGTTATTTTACCCTACATACAGATTCTTTTAACAAAAGTATTCATTAAACGGTATAAGATTAATTCCATTTTTCATTGTGTGCGTGCTTCAAGATTTCAAGATTTTGTTATTTACTCAATACACAATACATGTAAATATGAGGTAAATAACAAATTACAAATGTTAACGAGGTTAATAGTATGTAACTCACACATCTTACAATATTCTTTTAACATAGACAGGAGAAAGTTTTACATTCATACAAAATAAAATGAATTATTTCAAAAATATTTATCAAAGTTTAATATAATAATTCAGTTCAATATTTTTCTAAGATTATTTTTATAAACATGCAAATTTTTTTTATATATCACATAATTAGAGGGGTCAGTGTTCATTAATTTATCAAACTTTATTATATTTGGATTTCTATAATAGATTTCAGAGATATATTTTTTTCTATCCGTATTAAGATTTGGGCATTCTAATAGAAAATGAAATTCGTCGCCTATGTTATGATTGCAGAGAGTGCATTTTCTCTGTTCTAAAGGGATCCTATGCCAATTTCCAGTTTCGACCGGTAGTTTATGATTTCTGGTTCTGAATTTGATCATATATTTTAAATATTTGGAAGGTGTTTCACTAAGATATTTCTCAATTTCAAATTTTCTTTTAAAAATACAATAATGTTTGCAATTAGATGTGTTTTCTAGACCTGAGTACCACTGATGTATGAATATATCTGATAATTTTTTGTTTAACTGATTTAACCAGCCAATTTACGTTAGGAAATTCATGACTCATCCAAATATTAGCCATTCCACATTCTATAAAAATATCTTTTATGCAAGTTATCCATTTGAAATTGAAATTTGAGTGACTATTTTTAAAATTACTCAATGCAACTGCATATATTTCTGTTGTAAGCTTTTTGTAATTTGTTACAATTAGTTTTGCCCAAAATGAAATCATCCTTGCTTTAATTTCTATTGATAACGGTTTGGTACCAGTTTCACCATAAACAATTATATTAGAAGTATTTTTCTTAAGACATAAAATATGTTTTAAAAACTTAAGTTGCACTCTTTCAACAATGTCTAAATTTCCAAATCCCCAGATTTCACAACCATATAAAAGTATAGGTTTAACCATTTTATTAAAAAGATCAATTTGAAGATTTATAGGTAAGCAGAGATGTTTGCATTTTTTAATTAAAGAATACATAGCTTTTGTAGCTTGTTTGGCAATGTTTTGCTTTGTTTTGAAAAAAAGAACCAGATCTGTTAAATAAGACACCTAAATATTTGTATTCATTTACAATTTCTAAAGTTTCGTTTTTGAATGTAAAAGTGTATTCGCGTTGTCTACTTCTTGAAAATACAAGTACTTTTGTTTTAGAAGAATTTAATTTAAGTCTCCAAGCATCACAGTAATCAGCGTAGATATTTAAAAGGTTTTGCAAGTCTTCTGCAGAGTCTGCCATTAAAACGGTGTCGTCTGCATAAAGAAGTATGAAAAGTTTTACAAAATTTATAGCTTCTGTTTCGAACTCATGTTTGTTGCATTTTTACACCTGATGCTATAATACTACTATTAATAAAATTACTTAGATCATTTAAGTATAGAGAAAAAAGCAGGGGAGATAAATTTTCAACCTGTTGGACGCCCACATTACAAGGGAAGTAATCAGTTTTTACTCCATTTACAAAAATGCATGACTTAGCTTTTTCATACATGGTTTTTATAACATTTAAGAAAGATCCATTTATATTGTTAAGAATAAGTTTTCCCCAAAGATCCTCTTTGGCCCCTGCTTGTGTGCGTGTTTGTTTGTTTTCTACATAATCTTTTGTAAGCGTTGACTGTTTGCGACAATCAGTAGGATGCGTCCAAGTTTAACTTTTAGTTATACAAATAAGAAAGTATCATCTCGCAAATAATTATGTTTCATATTTTACATATATCTTTTTTAAGAATTTAGATATTCAAAATTTTTAACAAAATGTAAAAATTGACAGAAGTAGACGTGAGATAATTTTAGAAGAACTTTGGATTTTAACAACAAGATCAAAACTTACTTGCTTTTTAACACGATATAATGTAGAAAATTGTCGTTTTCTGGCTTTAAAAGTTAGTTTAAACAATATTTTTTTTCTATTTTACAACATAAATATATATAGTAAGCATATACAATCACACTTATATTTTTCGTGGATTGGAAAACAAGTCAGTTTCTTATGTAAATTCCTTTCCACACATAATGTACTTGCAATAAAAAATATGTTCATATTTGGTAAAAAGGAAATCAGATAAATAATTAAAATGAATAAATTTGTTAGAACATTATTATTAGAATAAGAAAACTTCTGTTTCAAGATTATTTTATAATATTGGGAGATTACTCCAAACAATTTCTATTACAAAATAAAATAGTGTAATAATGATGGTTTGATTCAATTGTATTGTGGATTTTATTTTAACTTAGCAGTGCACATATTAACTGTTTGAGGTTTAAGAATAACATCCTGATTTAATCAAGCAATTGATGCGATATGAATATCTTTTTCGAGGAGTACATATGTATTATTAACTCTTAAGCAGCCTTACTCAAAATATAATCTAACGCCATTTTCTATATATTCTGCGATGCAGAAGACTAACTTCAGCACCTGAATCAACTTATGATCTGTACTTTTAATCAACCATGAATTAGGACTACCCGCTAATGATATACTAAATTTTGATATTTTATCGTTCCTGTCAGAGACCCCTTTGTGACAGGAACTTGCTAGTTTCCCTGAAAATTAATTTTGTTTCTGTCCTAAAAATTTGTTTCCGGCATTCTCTCATAATATGTTCAAAATTATTACATTTTCAGCAGTTTATCTTTGATTGCTATTATTATTCCTAAATCGTGAACATTTTTGACGGTGATATACAGAATATATTCCATTTTTCCTATATCTACAATTACGCACCTGATGACGTGACATTTTACAGTAAATGCAAAAAATTCTTGTTTAATAATGATTAAAATTATTTGCTTTGTTATTATTGTAACTTGCGTAATTTTAACAATTAGAAAATTTTACTACTCTAGCAGAAAATCTAGCCCTGAAATTCTGTTCGTTCATGGCCCAAGTAATTGCAGCTTGTAACGTTAAGGCATTTTCTCTCATAAGTTTAAGTCTTAAATAATTATGCGTTAGACTATCCGTAAGCAATTCAACCAAATAAAGTTCAATTAAACAGTTATATCCTAGTTTATAATTTTCATAAGCGGTTTCAGCACAAATAATAAATTTTTCACAAAAAAAAATTGAACACTTTCTCCCAAACCTTGTTTTAAATTTCTCAAAAGATGTAATTCACGTTGTAAATCTTTAATTTCTCGAAATCTAGTACTTTTTTGTTCCTTTAATTGTTCCCATGAATTACAAGGATTATCAAGCAAGTATCTACATATAGAATTGCTTACAGTTCCTTTACTTGCTTGAAATGCGACTAATTTTATTATCATTCAAACCATTTTAATTTAAAACAGCATATTTTTCTATAGATTGTATCAAGTCATTAAAATATTTAAAATTTCCATCAAAACTTTGTACTATTTCTGATAAACCCTATGTACCTATTACAGCTGAAATATTATCCGATAATTTGTTAATAATATGTAACTATTTCTTGATCAGATATTTTCAAAATTAGCAATTTACAGGTATATAAACGATCACTCACCTTTTATTTTCTGTTTCAGGTACTTCGTTGTGTCCTGCGGCCAAAAAATCGTCGCCGTCTTAGGCGCCAAAAACAACCTTGTGGTATAGTAACAAGAAACGCACACCTAAAACTTTTAAATTTTAATTCTACAGAAGTGTATAACTAGACGCTAACTCTCGCAAATCAGAACTCCATTTCTTAACTGCCCAACTGGACCCTTCAATCATTCTTTATACATGACAGCTTCCCATCTAGTTAATACAAAATACGTATACTCTAAATTATATTATCAATGAACTTTGTACACCTTCATATATATGAATTGCAAAATTAAATAAAAGCCTAAAAGTATATCTATATGTCTACTTGTCATTTATAATAATATCATGTATAAACAACATTTATCTCAATTATACATCACCTTTTGGTTAGGTTATCTTTATGAAACACAGATAGTATTGCAGGACACATGTATATCTTAAGATAAATAAATGTATTTATAGATATATATGTGACTTTATCCGTGAGAGTGAACATAATACATGATTTGCTAGGTAAAAAGCGCGCGGTAAATGAAATAAGTTTTTTTTCACGATGTTTTTTCAAGATGTTCAATTCTTACACAGGACGTTAGTCACTAATATATCTCGAAATTCACGACAATGTAGAGACGAATATTACCTTAAAGACAAATATATTCAATTTTAGACACCTCTGGCCGGTTGTTACTCATAATAAATACATGTATATCTAAGAAAAGTCGGACAATACATGTAAAGTCGGTGTTTTTCATAATTTTCAATATAAAGATTGGCAGTATTCATTAAGATACCTGTCACAAAATCTCGTGCATTTTGTGAATTCCGTTCGTTCATGGTTGAACGCACCTCATAATTAAAATTGACATGCCTGAACACGGGAAAAGTGTGGGAATGCAGCCAATAGTCAGTACACAAACTTTTGTAGAAATATATTGATAAACGAAAAAGTTATAAGGACATAAATGGTGCACACTTATAAGATTTGTTAAGTGTAAGTGAACGTTCCGTATTTTAATGACATTACTGAAGACAGACAGACATACAGAAAACTTTATTTCCACTCAAGGTTTTATAAATACAACATGATCATATGCAAAGCAATATATGCTTCCGGAAGAGATCTGCGAAAGAAAAAAATGTAAATTCAGCATCATGTATCATCAAGGAATTCACTCCCCCGTGCTTGCATTCGCTATATCATATAGCAATGCAAAAAGTACATATTTACTGAAATAGAAAATAAATAATGGAGCGTCAAATTTATGTGTCATTTTAAATTAAGACATTCTAACAGTTCACCTAACAAAATGAAATTGACATAAATAAAGGGGGAGATTCTAAATACAGACTGCCAAGCAACAGGTAAGGATGGCAATGGAAAAGTGTGTTATAGGTCACAAAGCAATGTTACCATGCCGTGAGATATAGTGCTTAAAGAATTTGCTTATCATTTTACTATGTATATATCTCTTTATTATACTTACAGTGACAGACCAATGGTGGTTATTGGAAAATGTTTTGGATAAAATAAATATAAATCTGCCGAAAATGTAACAAGACTGTCCCACTCTTTTTATAAATTGGGCGCTACTGGTTAATTCCGAATTATATTTACAGAATTCCCCTGATTGAAAGTGAGTAATTAATCTCTAATGCTAAGTGACTATAAAAATTAAAGGAATTGGAGCAAAATGAAGACTTATTTGACTTTCACCTGTTCACTCACTTTTTTACACTTGGACGGGCATAATGTCACTTTAATAAGTTAACTTTTTTACAAAATGTGGATTATTCAATTGTGAACACTAGGAATTGCTACAAAACGATTAAATTACATCCTATTTATTATTACTACCTTGTATTAATGATATATACTTACTAAAAAATGCTTGACTTATTTTCTGAACCTGAAATTCATTTCATACTTTATGATCTGATAAATAAAAGTATATAAATTATTCACATATTCTTTTAAATCTATATGTACCATTAAGAAAAGTTTTAGAAAAAGTGCTTCCTCACATATTATTCATGTAAAATATACAATTGTATAAATAAGAACTAGTAAGAAAAAAAAAGGTTCTGTTTAAGGGTTGCTATATTGTGATAATTTTGATATTTTCCTCAATCTGTATTTATTTATTTTGCTTTTTCATGTAACTTTGTGTTACTTTGTGTGTATATTTCTTTGTTTGTTACATTCTAACTGCATGTATGTAAATGATATAATATCCCAATCATTGTATGTATTTTCGGCCATGTCATTCCATTTATGCATTCTTTTTTATTGTTTTACGACGATGAGCGTGAAATGCTTTTAAAAGCCAATTAAAATGTATAACAATTATGTTATTTTATTTTTAAAATTATTCAGCGATACTCGCGTTGAATTGTATGGAAGCACTGGAGGGCCCTTTTGACTTCTGACTTAATGACTTTTGACTTGAGAGTTATGACTTTTGACTTGGGATTTTGACTTTTAACTCAAGACTTATTACTTCTTAGTTGTGTAATTAATTAATTAAACCACACTTTAAGAGAGCACGTGAGTAATAGGCGAAGATGGCTGTGTTGTGCCAATATGAAATTCGTGTTTGCGTGTTGTTTTCTGTGCACTATGTTGAAGATAACAGCTGGTGTGGTGCCAGCTTACCTGCCTTTATCGTCTCCGAATGTTGATATTTTAAACATCACTCATTGAAGAATATTTCAAACAAGGTTTTAAATACAGTGAAATTCTTGGATTTTTGCTACTAAAGCATGGTATTTTGTTGTCACTGCGTCAGCTGAAAAGAATCTTGAAGAAGTTGAACCTGAAACGTTGAGGTGTACATTTGCAATCGCAGTTGAAAAAACGTTGTTCGTGTAACTGGCACAGAAATGCATTAAAGTGGACAGTCTGTCGGTTATCGGACGATATGGCGCCGGCTGAAAGTGAATCATAATATGGATGTAAGCCATAAAGATGTTATGGACATAATGAAGGCAAAAGATCCAAATGGTGTTGAAATGAGAAATGCACATAGACTTAAAAGACGTTTTCTATTGTGCAAAAGCGCCAAACAATATTTGGCATTTAGATGGTTATGATAAGTTGAAACCATTCGGATTTTGTATACACGGGAGCGGTAGATGGTTTTAGCAGGAAAGTTATCTGATTAGAAGTTTTTTACACTAACAACGATCCAAAACTGATTGCGATATATTATTTGGATGCTTTGAAGCGCATTGAAAAAACACCTCGCATACTTCGTTGCGATGCTGGTACAGAAAACAGTGTTGTTTGTCTTCTACAGCAGTTCTTTCGGAGTGAAGCAACCGACCACTTTGCTGGTAGTCGCAGCGTTAATGTTGGAAGAAGCACTTCTGACCAGCCCATTGAAAGATGGTGGGGTACGCTACGTCAACAAGGAATACAGTGGTGGATTAACTTGTTTAAGGATTTGCGCGATTCTGATCGTTTCAATGAACTCGACCAGATACATTGTGAAAATTTTAAAATTTGTTTTATGAACCTAATACAAACACACCTAGATAGAATTGCTCAACAGTGGAATGTACATGAAATAAGACCTCCGCACAATTCCGACGCACATTACGGAAAACCTGAAATTATGTATTTATGTCGATTCAGCATTGAATTTGTTCCTGGAGTTGAATGATTTAGTGGCAAACTCGTATGAAGACTGAAGTCTTTTTAAGCCATAAAGTTGTTTTGTGAGAGAACAAATGATCAACACGATCCATCATTATCATCATCATCATCATCATCTACATCATCATGATTATCATTATAAGTATGTTGACTGCAATGATGATTGTCATGATGCTGCTCCTCATGATGAAGGTCGACTTTATAATTTAAATAATTATGTTGTTGATGATAAGCAGAAGTTGATTTCGATGATAATGATTATAATCATGACGATGATGATAACTATATTAAGGATGATGATCGTGATGATGTTGTAAACTATAGTATAATATATTTTATAGTTCATAACGTAAGTGGCATATGTTTATTCTTATGTTTGACAGTCAATTATAACAAACGAATATGTCACGAAAGTCAAATGTTATTTCTACGTTCAAATACATCATGGCTCACAAAGGTCTGTTTGTAACCGTTAACGTTTCAGTCAAGAAAAACTACGGACCTGTGACAAGTGTAGACCGAATTAGTCTGTGCAGGTGTGCAGACTTACAAGGGCCTATATACTTAACTTTCAGTTAATTAGAATCTGGCTATTAAAATAAATAAATTGACTGCCTCACGTTCATCTTTGTAGACCTAACGCCCTAGTACGAAACTTACACAGGATATCTAGCCAGTACTACCGTATTCTTCCTAGTAATCGCCCAGGGCGCTTAGAAAACTGTGAAAGGTGGGCGCTTATTAGGAGTCAGGTCTTACAAAAGTATACAATATGTAAGAGTCACAGCTATGCAAATTCTGTTGATATCTCGTATTTGATATTCTCGTATCCTGGGCGCTTAACCACTTACAAATGGAAAAGAACAGATGGGCACTTATAGAAGCATTGGCTCTTATTAGGATGAATAGGTAGTTATACGTGGTAAGGTCAGCTTCAAGAATTTCCAGGATGACGCATTTGTAAAGCTAAGGACGTTTTAAAAGATATTGCAATGACACTTCGTGCAAAATGGTCTGACTTGTGACTTCGTATTTCTGACTAGAGACTTCCTATTTGTGACTTTTGACTTCTTACTTGTGACTTCCTACTTGTGACTTTTGACTTCCTACTTATGAGTAGTGACTTCAAACATTTGTGGTCTTGACTTTTTACGTATTGACCTCTTTTACAAATGCATGGAATTGATATATGGTTTGGGGATTGGCAAAGGAACAGATATTCAAACGCCATGAAGCTGTACGGGTATCATAACATGCAACTAAAAATATAATTCAAGGGCTTGGTGCAAAACAGTTGTACTCGTTCCTTATCTAGTTTAAGTTACAACCGTTTCACAATAAGCCCTCAAAATGGATTAAACAACTAGACTTTTTCTAGCCCTAGTATAAAGCGCCCGTGTAGGGCAAGGTCATGCACCAAGACTATGTTTTTTTGTTCTTATTC